CCAAAAAAAAAAAAAAAACCCATAATTCATTTGGAAACTCTTGTTCCGCGCAATTTGAGTTCCTTGCTCGTGAATTTTATCCCATTCAAGAAAGACTTGTCTCGAAGGTAGTTATAACTTTGCACTGGAACCATGATGCAGACAAGCATGTATGAGAACGTGAAAACACAATATTCAAGAACAACCTATTCATGTTCATTCACATGCAAATACTATAAATAATAGAATTACAGCCATCTAAGTATGGTAATTTACAATGAAATCTCCTAATCTAGTAATAGTATAATTATATACAATCAAAGCTCTTGGACTTAGGAATAAATAAAATATACTATGTTAGAAAGCATAATCAAATCTCATGTAATTTGACAACCCATTGATATCCCCCTCAAATTGAAGCTAGGCAATTAAGAAAAATCAAATTGTCCACTATAAATAGACAGTGATGACGAGATAAATCTCCAACATTAGTTCTAATTATTGCATTGCGGTCCATTTCACTTTTTAGGGGTGCAGATGGCTCCTGGTTGGAAGACGATTATGGGCATAGAGCCATAGGAAGTATTTGAGTTTGTTGAGAGTAGGGATGGTCCAGCTAAAAAAGAAAAAATTAAAAAAATCGATGGAGCACATAATAGTTGTAGTAAATGACTCACATAGAACAACCAATATAAGAGATAATTCACCAACTTGCGATAGTTCTTCAAGGTCAAACCTTCAATCTTAGGGCAATTTTCAATTGAACCCAAACAACTTTGAAGCTTTTCACATAACGGCATTTTTCTCCGACAAACCGCTAGGGAAGTATTTATTCCCAAGTGATAAGGCCTGGATTTTAGATTGATGCCTTAGTCCATGGAGTTCAGATTGATGCCTTAGTCCAATCCGAGATTTAAAAAAAAAAAGATACCATTTATAATAAATTCCATAAAATGGGAATAGACAATAGGAAAATTATAAATACTAGCCACTTCCACTAATTATAAATAAAAAGAAAGCTGCCAGACACACACAATTAATCATTTAGTTGTAGAATTTCAACTCTCCTGTACGTGTTTATTATGATCATTTTCAATACCAAGGTAAGTGCAGTCGTACGATTTATATTGAATTTTTTTTGTACTTTGAATTACAAAATTCGATTTATGAATATGATATGGATCATATACATACAAGTTTAAGGGACCGAAGTTCAGTAGCGCTACGCACGAAAATTTTAGACAGCTAAGTTCGATTTCTAATTCTCGTGTCTCCTTACGTACGTTAAGAATTCTTAATTTTAAATATGAAATGCGATCCATTGTGGCTCTCTTATTGTGATTTATCTTATTATTTGTAATTTTTCCCCTTTCAAGTAATTAAGTTTCGATGTGTTGGATTATAAAATTGGGACTTACGAATTTCGAACAATTTGTTGAATTTTTTATGATTAAATAATTGATTTTAATTGAGCAACTTGCACCGTCCTTGGTTTTAATCTTGGATGAAATAACAAAAAGCCGCGAGGGATAAGATGAGTAGAGGCCCCCCTAAATAAGACAGTATGTATGATATAACGGCTTGAGCAAAGTGATCGGGTCGTTACATAAGTTTCATTATAAAATCAATAGCACCACCACCACATATTAGCCAACCAAACACTAGTGGTTGAATAAGAAATATAATTTTCACCTAAAAAATATGTACCATGAAAATGATTCCAATGTCAAAAATTATACATTCAACCAAATGGAGCTTAAATATTGAGGGTTCTTTGTTGCCTCCCTAAACGACATGTTTCTCAGCTCATAATTATTACACTCAAAGGAATCTTCTATAAAGGCCATACTTATAACCTGTGAAGCTCGTAAAAATCCGTAGAATCGTTTATAAAGGCTAGACACGTAGAACAATTCATTGGGCTTAAGGCATCATTTCGATGGGTTTCTAGGAGAAAGAAAACAGAACATTGAATCTTTTAATTTTGGGAGATGCTAAGTGTACACAATGATGTACACACGGTTTTACACCCTCCTCACATGGAGGGGGCCCACATACAATAAAATATTCGTGGTCCCCCCCATGTGAGGGAGTGTAAAGTCATGTGTACACCAAGGGGTGTACACATAGCATTTTCTTTAATTTTTTTGTTTAATTCTAACTGGAAACAAGAAAATGGGCTTTAAAAAAAATGTACATCAAAAAGAGGTCAAATTGAAAAAAATGTTGTCAAAGGTAAAAGTTTGTTAATTTGTGTTAGTATGAATTTAAATAGTTATTATTTTATATATTTGTTGGGCTTAAAGAATCTAAAAAATTATTATCTTATATATTTAGCGGGGTTATTTAGTGCACGGGTGCAAGTCGGGGTAGAAAAATTTTATTATTGAAGCGAGATTATTATTTTATGGACCATTCATTTATTGTGCTTTAAAGATATATCAGGTAAATTCCTAATGTAGTTAACATCAAATGGGATGGAGATAAACTGCACCTGGAGCATAAAAACTCAGCATGCGGTTAGCCTGGTACCTAGGCAGAGCGAAAATATCATCATCAGATCAACAACAAAAATCCCTTCATTAAAAATATTATACTAGTAGTATATAAATTGGAAAATACACGCCCTAAAGAATAAAAATGCAAAAATAACTGGTATACTGTCAATTTTACTTACCAGGGAATAAAGGTGGACTGATTGTCCTGAGTCTTGATGATATTATCAGGGATCCTCTTGTTCAGATCTCGTAGGATCTCGGCAAGGGGGCGAGTTATGCAGGAGTACTTGTCCAGAGGAACCACGTAATTCAAATTGGGTGTCGCCGCCTTCTTACTGCTATTGCCGTCGCCCCCGCTAATACTGTTACGGTCCAGCGCTGACATGCGGATATTTAGCGTCCTCAAGGGAGTGTTAAAACGAAGTTCGACCGTCCCGAACCGCTGATTTGGCAGCCAAGTCGCTGGATAGCAGACCTCCGTCACCGGCAGTGCATAATTAAGCAATTGCACGGCCATTGCCGACAGCCACAGCAACTTAATCTACCTAACACATAGTTTTCTGGTCCCTTCTAGTCCCCATTACTTTATTGTAATTCCACGAAGTACCCTCAGGTTTGCCTATTGCGGTTGTTGGGTTCCTAGTCTAATTATTTTGACATGTAAGTACTCCTTTTTATAATTTACAGAAATTTTGTCCTTTCTCTTGTAAATCCATATTTAGCATATTCTAAACATGTCCGACACCTAATAGCTCCTCGAAAAATCACAAGTCAAAGAGTATGTACAAGCCACAATTGCATGAATGGAATTGATTATCACTTGTTAAGAATTGAAATTAAGATTTGATTAGTGGAGTCGGAAATCCAATACAATCACCCACATTTGATTTAAAATTCATTTTTTACTGCTTTCGTAGCTATAGAACATAGTTAAATTCACACCAACTATCTTTTGTTACATTTGCGAATTTAAATATATTGAATACTCTAAAATTGCGCCTTATTTCCTGTGGGACGATAACTCACTCATCACAATTATTACTTGTACAATGAACTCGTACGCTTGTGAGATTTTT